CAAACTCTAAGCTGGCTTTCCTGTTTTTGAGGCTCACCAATGGTTTACATCTTGTGGTGAACCCTCTGTATTCACTCTGGTGAAGTCTTCTCTTGATTGTTGACTTTGACACACATACACCTACCTCCTGGAGAGTGTTCTTGATCTGGCCAACTGTTGTGAAGGGTGTTTTCTTCACCAGGGAAAGAATTCTTTGGTCATTCACCACAGTTGTTTTCCGTGGTCTTCTGGGTCTTTTGGTGTTGCTGAGCTCACCGGTGCGTTCCTTCTTTTTAAGAATGTTCCAAACAGTTGTTTTGGCCACGCCTAATGTTTTTGCTATCTCTCTGATGGGTTTGTTTTGTTTTTTTTTCAGCCTAATGATGGCTTGCTTCACTGACAGTGACAGCTCTTTGGATCTCATCTTGAGAGTTGACAGCAACAGATTCCAAATGCAAATAGCACACTTGAAATGAAAACTGGACCTTTTATCTGCTCATTGTAATTGGGATAATGAGGGAATAACACACCTGGCCATGGAACAGCCGAGAAGCCAGTTGTCCCATTACTTTTGGTCCCTTAACAAGTGGGAGGCACATATGCAAACTGTTGTAATTCCTACACCGTTCACCTGATTTGGATGTAAATACCTTCAAATTAAAACTGACATTCTGCAGTTAAAGCACATCTTGTTCGTTTAATTTCAAATCCATTGTGGTGGTGTTCAGAGCCAAAAAGGTTAGAATTGTGTCGATGTCCCAATATTTATGGACCTGACTGTATATATATTTATTGAAATATATTGAATATGGCCAAAATTGTAGTATTTCAAATATATGTCAATTTATTTGGGAAGAATATTTTTATATTTCAATATATTTATTAAGAATTTTTAGAAACATTATCCATAAAGACAGGATGCAACCCACCAACATGACGAGTTGCAAAACATAAACACTATAAATAAATTCAAGTACAATGTGTAGCAACATAACAACAAAATCGACCAATAAAGCATAATGAGGAATACACTAGTAGCACAAAGTTTGGTCGATTATGAGCAAATTGCTCCATAAACAAGGTGGTATGAATAATATCATTACAATAATAGACAAATATACAGAACAAAAAAATGAGGAAAGAACTGAAGAAGAAAGTAAAGAATAAAACCCAGAAAAAAATGAGAGAGCAAGCCAAGAGTCCATTAAATTGCAGAAATACACAGAATCCATGGATCCCAAGTGCTCCCAAATTTAGAATCTATTGTTAAGTATACTAGTAAGTTTATCATTAATCATAATCCAAATAAGTTTCTGCTTAACTAATTCCAGTGAATTGTTGACTGTTTCCAACGTTTGGCTATCGTAATTCTCGCTGGCAGCAGGATATAAAGAATCAATTTAACCAATTTCTTAAGAATATCAGTGGGCAATAAATGAAATAGAGCTATTTCAGGGGATTGACGAATATTAACCCCCGTTACTGAATAAAGGAAGTTAAACAGATCCAAAACCTAGTCACCACAGGGCATTTCCGCCAGATGTGGAGCATAGTACCCTCCTGTCCACAATGTTGAAAACAGATGGGTGACACAGAAGGGTACATTTTAGCAAGACGTGTAGGGACAGATATCACCGAAGAAGCGTTTTGTAATTAGATTCAATGAGTGTAGTGTTAATCGAGATTTTAGCATTAGCCGTATTCCGCCAAGTGTCCAGCTCCAGAGAAATATTTAAATCCCTTTACCAATGTACCATATAAGAGAGCTTAATAATTGGATCAACAAGGGAAGCATATATATTAGAGAGACGACCTTTCATCGTCCCTGTAGCCCCACAGGAGACCTCGAGAGGGGTGAGCGTACAGGTTTCCGTTAGTAATTTAAGTTTGCTAGTGACAAAAGACATTTGATGATAATGAAACATTTCGCTAGAAGGCAGGTGGTACTTTGTGTGAAAATATTGGAGAGAATATGGATGAAGTTCATCCAAATAGTCCCCAATACGCAAAAAGCCCTTATTGATCCAACAGTCAAACACCAGGTGTGAATTCAGGATTACAAAAAACTGGGGCCAGAGGGGTATGTAGGGAAAATAAAGGCTTGTGGGCCCGCCATCTATCCCAGATTGTTAAAGAATATGATAACGTAGGGCAAAGGATGGGAGGATGCAACAGACTGGGAAGCCACATAAGGGAGTCAACAGCATACAGATGGCAAGATAGAGCCTCAATGCCAACCCATTGAGGCACATAGCCCGTAGCAGTAGTGCATGAGAGCTGCGTTATCTGAGCCGCATGGAAATAAGTCATAAGATTAGGAATTCCCAAACCACCATGCTTTTTCTGATAAAATGAAGTTGAATTATTGACCTGACCTCTCCATATAAATCTAGAGACAGCAGATTGTAAGAGTAAGATTTCCCGTCTGGGGACCGCAATTGGCAAAGTCCGAAAATAATATAGTAGTTTTGGCAGAAAAGTCATTTAATGGAAATTGATTCTACCAAACCAGGATAAATCGGTCCTGAGTCGTTTAAAAAGACGGGGTAGTTAGCACGATGTATCGAAGAAACAGAGCTCGTGAGATGGATCCCCAAATAGGGAAGAGAGCAGGGGGGGCACATTGAAATTGTCCTGAAGATACTGAACCTCCAAAGTGGGCAAAGAAATATTTAAAGCAATCGTTCTAGACGAATTTAGAGTAAGACCGAGGCCATAGAAAAATCGGTGAAATAGGTGAAAATAAATGGAGGAGACTAGGCAAAGACACTCGGAACAGACACATACAGAAGGACATCATCGGCAAATAAGGCACATTTATGATCTCGTTGGCCAGTAGATAGCAGAGATAACAGGATCACAACGGATAGCAATAGCAAGTGGTTCCATTGCTAATGCAAAAAGTAAAGGAGAAAGGGGGCATCCCTGTATAATACCTCTCCCAACAGACAGAGGAGCCGATTTGTATCCACGAATAGAGACCTGGGCTGAAGGATTACAATATAGAGCCCGCAATAAGAAAAAAAGGAGGAGCAGAACCCAAATGCACCAAACATCTGAAATAAATATTCCCCAGGCAGGCTGTCGAAAGCTTTATGGAGATCTAAAGACAACAGGACTTCTAATTGTCCCAATTAGATTTTACAGCTGACAGTGCCAAAGTTCGACAAATTTGATCTTGTTTGTCGATCGCTAATAAATCCTGATTGATCATCATGAATATAATGAGCTAAAAATTTATGAAAGCGTGAAGCCAAAACTTTAGTGAGAATCTTGAGATGACAATTAATCAAGGAGATAGGACGATAATTAGAGACAGCAGTAGTATCTTTATTGGGCTTAGGAATGACACTAATGAACGCTTTATTTTCGTCAGATAATTAAAATAATGGGCTCTATGTGGAATCAGAAGGTCAGGGAAAGCTTTATAATAGGCATGAGGAAGGCCATCCGGTCCTGGGGATTTATCTGGAGCTAAGGTTTTTAAGGTGTTCTGAATCTCCTCGCAAGTGATAGGCTGAGACATTAATTCTCCAAGCGCCGCCTGAAGAGAAGGAAGAGTCACAGAATTCAGGAAACTGTTGGTAGATGAGGAGATGTCCCCTTGAGGTGAATGGTAAAAATCAGTATAAGAGGAATGAAACTCTTGGAGGATCTTACTGGGATCCTGAGATAAAGCATCGGCAGTGAGTCTGATTTTAGGAAGAGCCATATGAGAATGTTTAGGAGACAACTTGTGCGCTAATAGGGTGCCTGGTCTGTACCTCCAAGTAAAAAATTTGTGATTAGCCCAACGTAACTGTTTATCCACTGTTGTAGTAAGGCACAAATTAAGTTCCAATCGGCCTGGTCAAATTTAACCAATAGAGCAGGATCAGGAGTCTGTTTATGTTGGGCAACAAGATCAGTATACACTTGAGATTTAGTCAAAACCAATTTGTTTTGGGCCCTTTTAAGTCGTGAAGACAGTTCAATAAGAAACCCCCTGACTGATGCTTTATGAGCCACCCAATTAGTAGCTGGAGTCATGTCATCTGCCTTATTCATTTCAAAATACAATTTCAAATGTGTGGAGATATCAAGACAATAAGAAGCTTTACCCAAGATAGATTCATTAAGGCGCCAATGAGGAGCAGTCCTCCCATGTGTCCAAGACTAAAGCATCAAAAGAACTGGGTCATGGTCAGACCAAGGTGTAGAAAGCACTTTAACTGTAATCAATCTAGAATGTGAACATGTATGGAGGAATATATGATCAATACGGGAATAACAGTTATGAGCCCTAGAAAAATGAGAGTAGTCTCGAGAAGTCGGTTAGCTTCTCTCCAGGCATCAACGAGATCACAGCGATATAAAATCTGGGCAAACTTGCGGCTCTGTCTAGAAGGGGATTTAAGCAATCCAGTGCTAGATTAGAGTCACCAGCCAAAATAACATCGCCCTCAAGCTCTGAGGCTAAAGCGCTCAATAAAGAATGAAAGAACTCCAACTGATTGATATTTGGAGCATAGTATACCAAAAAATAGAGCAGGTTTCCATCCAAGTGACCCTTCAGCAAAAGATAGCGTCCCTCCCAATCCCTAATAATTTTAGATTCAGTAAACGATAAACTGCGGGACAAACAAAGAGCTACCCCTCAATTCTTTTCCGTGGCATTAGCAAAGGGAATAAATATTTTTAAAATATATTTAAAATATTTTTTCTTCCCTTGGCACGTTTTCGTGTCTTCCCTGCCTCCTGAAGATGTCTTGCACACATGGAGGACCAGTCTGAACCTCATGAGGTTCTGGAGTAAAGTTCTCATCCTTTACATGATGCACACCTTTCAATAAGGAGAAGACCGTATCAACCCATCTCATAGAGATTTTTCAGCTAGTTGTATGGTAATTAGAGATGAGCGAATTATTCAAAAATTCGATTCGGCTGATTCGGTGAATTCGCGGAATAAATTCGATTCGAGTCGAATATATTCGCTGCGAATTTAACTTATAAAAAGGGTGTTTCTAGGCTTCAGAGAGCCTTTATATTAGTGCAGAACACTGTACCTTTAATTTAAATGCCCTTGGAGTCTGCTGGGGAAGAGAAATAATACTGTCAGTCAGTATGACATGCAGATGAGTGCCGTCGATCTTAGAATCACCGCACACTTCACTCATTTGGGCAGTCACGGGGCCAAAACCAGAGTGTGGAGCCACAGTGTGGCGGTGGAGGCAGCAGCAATGGGAGGCCATACAGCACCCTATGACAAAATGGAACCCACCAGCAGTGTGAGGAGACCTGAAAGTGGCACATGGCAGAGTGTGGCGATGGAGACAGCAGAAATGGGAGGCCGTACAGGGACCCATGACACACTCTGGACCTGGCAGCAGCATGAGGAGGCGGTACAGGGGCCCATGACAGATTACGGGCCTGGCAGCAGCATGAGGAGTCGGTACGGGGGCCCATGGCAGATTACGGGCCTGGCAGCAGCAATGGGAGGCCATACAGCACCCTATGACAAAATGGAACCCACCAGCAGTGTGAGGAGACCTGAAAGTGGCACATGGCAGAGTGTGGCGATGGAGACAGCAGCAATGGGAGGCCGTACAGGGACCCATGACACACTCTGGACCTGGCAGCAGCATGAGGAGGCGGTACAGGGGCCCATGACAGATTACGGGCCTGGCAGCAGCATGAGGAGTCGATACGGGGGCCCATGGCAGATTACGGGCCTGGCAGCAGCAATGGGAGGCCGTACAGGGACCCATGACACACTCTGGACCTGGCAGCAGCATGAGGAGGCGGTACAGGGGCCCATGACAGATTACGGGCCTGGCAGCAGCATGAGGAGTCGGTACGGGGGCCCATGGCAGATTACGGGCCTGGCAGCAGCAATGGGAGGCCGTACAGGGACCCATGACACACTCTGGACCTGGCAGCAGCATGAGGAGGCGGTACAGGGGCCCATGACAGATTACGGGCCTGGCAGCAGCATGAGGAGTCGGTACGTGGGCCCATGGCAGATTACGGGCCTGGCAGCAGCAATGGGAGGCCATACAGCACCCTATGACAAAATGGAACCCACCAGCAGTGTGAGGAGACCTGAAAGTGGCACATGGCAGAGTGTGGCGATGGAGACAGCAGCAATGGGAGGCCGTACAGGGACCCATGACACACTCTGGACCTGGCAGCAGCATGAGGAGGCGGTACAGGGGCCCATGACAGATTACGGGCCTGGCAGCAGCATGAGGAGTCGATACGGGGGCCCATGGCAGATTACGGGCCTGGCAGCAGCAATGGGAGGCCGTACAGGGACCCATGACACACTCTGGACCTGGCAGCAGCATGAGGAGGCGGTACAGGGGCCCATGACAGATTACGGGCCTGGCAGCAGCATGAGGAGTCGGTACGGGGGCCCATGGCAGATTACGGGCCTGGCAGCAGCAATGGGAGGCCGTACAGGGACCCATGACACACTCTGGACCTGGCAGCAGCATGAGGAGGCGGTACAGGGGCCCATGACAGATTACGGGCCTGGCAGCAGCATGAGGAGTCGGTACGTGGGCCCATGGCAGATTACAGGCCTGGCAGCAGCAATGGGAGGCCATACAGCACCCTATGACAAAATGGAACCCACCAGCAGTGTGAGGAGACCTGAAAGTGGCACATGGCAGAGTGTGGCGATGGAGACAGCAGCAATGGGAGGCCGTACAGGGACCCATGACACACTCTGGACCTGGCAGGAGCATGAGGAGGCGGTACAGGGGCCCATGACAGATTACGGGCCTGGCAGCAGCATGAGGAGTCGGTACGGGGTCCCATGGCAGATTACGGGCCTGGCAGCAGCAATGGGAGGCCCGTAATCTGCCAGCACCCTATGACAAAATGGAACCCACCAGCAGTGTGAGGAGACCTGAAAGTGGCACATGTTTGGGGCATGATTCATGGCAGATTTAGTCAGTTGTGTCAGGAACTGGTGGTTTGAAATCCAGACTAATCCACGCCTGATTCATTTTCTCCACACTTTGGGTGGACAGTCGTGTCCTCTGCGGAGTTACAATACCTCCTGCCGCACTAAACACGCGCTCCGATGCCACGCTACTGGCCGGGCATGACAGCCTTTCAAGGGCAAATTCAGCTAGTTGGGGTAAAGGTCAAGTTTCGTTGCCCAGTAGTCAAGGGGATTGTCTACCTCGGTTGGCAGGGTGCTGTCCAAGTAGGCCCAAGCCTGTTGTTTGAGCTCCTGCTCCAGGTCCACCTGATGCTGCTGCTGCTGCGGCTGGGGTTAGTAGTTTCCTCATTGCGCTGGTGAAGAAAGCTACTCATCATCGACTGCAGACTGAGGCAGCCGCTGCTGGTGGAGCTGCACTGCTCCTACCACCCCACCCCTCCCCTGCTGCCATGGCAGCGGAACGCGAGCGCACAGGGCCCACAGTGTCTGAGGATGGACGTTGGCGCAGAAAGGCAGAGACCAACTGACTACATAGGTGGTTTTTATAGTACGTTATTTGGCCTCCCTCTCAGCAGGTGTGAAAAAGGCCACCATTTTTGAATGGTAGCGAGGGTCCAACAAGGTGGACAGCCAAAAGTCATCCCTCTGTCTGATGGTTATTATTCGGCTGTCGCTACGCAAGCAACCGAGCATGCTATGGGCCATTTGTGCCAAGGAATGCGAGGGACTCCCTGCCTCCATCTCCACAGCATACTGCCTCGGTGCGTCTGGGTCCTCTGTCTCCTCTCCTCCTCTACCAGATGCTCCTGCTCCTCCACTCCTGTCCGCTGAGTGGAAAAACCACCCATTTCACTCAATAATTCCTGAACACCAATGTCTCCTCTACCTCCTCCTCTTCTTCCTGTCCTGCCCCCCCAGGGGTCATGTGGCGTTGAGATCTGTGCGCCACGTCTACCGCTCCCTGACCAGCCATTGTTAACAGCATTTGTTCCAGGACGTGCAACAGAGGAATGACGTCGTTCATCCCATAGTCCTGCCGACTCACGAATAGCGTGGCCTCCTCAAAGGGCCTGAGCAAGCGGCAGGTGTCAGCATGAGCTGCCAATGGCTTGACATCTAAGTTACACAGGGAGTACCTTTATCCGCTTGTAACATCAGGAAATCGGTGATGGCCTTTCGCTGTTCGTAAAGGCGGTCTAACATATGTAGGGTTGAATTCCACCTTGTTGCAACGTCGCAGATCAGGCGATGCTGTGGAATTCCGTTCTGCCGCTGCAGCTCAAGGAGGGTGTGCTTTGCGGTGTAGGAATGGCTGAAATGCATGCAAAGTTTACGTGACATTTTAAGGATGTCTTGCAGTGGGATGGTGGATTTTAGGAACCGCTTGACAAACAGATTGAACACGTGAGCCATGCATGGCGCATGGCACAACCTTCCTTGACGCAGAGCAAACACCATGTTCTTTCCGTTGTCGGTCAACATGGTTCCGATTTTCAGTTTGCGCGGAGACAGCCATCTGTCGATTTCTCTGTTCATTACACTGAGAAGTTCCTCCCCTGTGTGACTACGTTCGCCAAGGCATACCAGGTGCAGCACAGCGTGACACCGTTGCGCCCTGCACATGTGTGATATGCGGTCGGGTAATGGGACTTGGCACGGGGGTGGCGGCTGAGGACACGGCGGGAAGAAGAGGTGGTAGAGGCGGACATCTTTGCTGGACCAAGGACGTGCAAACGTGGAGGCAAAAGCGGCGTGTGACCTGTCCAAGTTGCTGGTGCGGCTGTGCCTGGCACCACGTTCACCCAGTGGGCCGTAAATGACATGTACTGTCCCTGACCGTAGTTACAGCTCACACGTCGGCGCTGCCGTGCACTTTGGCAGAGGACCGACATGCTCAAAGACTGGCCCACCATCTCTTTCTACATGTGAATGCAGGGCTGGCACTGCCTTTTTGGCGAAGAAATGCCGGCTTGGCACTCTCCACCGCGGCGCGGCACAAGCCATCATTCTCGGAAAGGTGCTGAGTCCACACTTGGAATGGGAGGGACTGCAGCACCAGCAACTTGGGACAGGAGGATGTTCAGCTTCTGCACCGTCGGGTGCATGCTCGCAAAAAACTGTTGTCTCTTGGAAACGGATTCCAAGAAAGACTGCTGACGGAATCCGTGAAGAGGAGTAGCAGGAGAAGGAGCATCTGAACGAGCGGAAGATGCCAACGAGCGACAACTCCCCTCAGCAGAGGTGTTAGAGCCTTGACTGGCTGATAGAGGGCGATTGACGTCGGGTGACGGAGCAAGTAACGGAGCGGGTGATGGAGCGGGGACTGGGGGCAGGCAGAACCGCTGTATCTTTATCACGGTTTTCCCAGGCCACCGATATGGCGACGCTGCATATGCTGACGCAACGCTGTAGTTCCCAACATTGGCCCCTGGCCACGCTTGACTTTCTGGCCACATAGTCGACATACGGCTACGTTTACTTCCTCGGGCGGCTTGACGAATAAATTGCCACACCGCCGTGTAGGAAACTTTGCCCCCGCTACTCCTCACTGGCTGACTGCTACTTCCTCCGTGCACACCGGCACCACTACTGGCCGTGGTGGTAGGCTGCAGTGGAGCTGGTGCTCTACTCCGTGTCCGTTTGCCTCCACTGACACTGCTGCGACCCTGCTGCCTCCTGGGCAAACCCACCGACTGTTTTGCTCGCTGCCAAGCTGGCACCCTCTTCTCCTGATGATGCGGAAGCAATAGCCTGATGACGACGAGGCTGCCAAGTGCGATCAGCCTCATCATCATCAATTAGGGTCTCCGCCTCACTACTAGCCCCCTCGGCTGCGTCTGGGTCAGGAGACAGACCTGTCTCTAGACCGGCTACGAGCCACTCTCCTCGCCAGTACTTCTTCGTCTGGCTGCTGAAAGGAGGGATGTCTCCCCCCGTTCCTGACCGCCCTCTGTTAGCTCTTCCTCACTGTACAGTGGGGCTGAGCCCACAGCATGCGATACTTCGCTTGGTGAGGTAACACCAAAGGACAGGGGCAGGTAGAGGACACGTGATTTCAGTGGGCTTGCTCCCGGGCCATGCCAACTAACGGTTGTGTCTGACGTACCCACCGACCGTTGGCTGTAGGTGTCAGAGGTGACCTGGGGGAAGAGGAAGACGACCGAGCCAACCAATCGATGACGGCAGGGTTGTCGGTGGATGACACGGCCGCTGGATGACACCGGGAGCATGGCCTCTGGCTGCGACTAGTGCTGCCTCGACCCCTTCCTCTCTGCTGCCACGTCTGCTCGCTCCTGAAACATTGCCTCCTCTGCCACTCCTCTGCGTGTTGTCTGACATACTCTTTAATTCAACGATTCTGTGTCCCTGAGTAACAATTCTGTGTCCCTCAGTAACGATTCTGTGTCCCTCAGTAACGATTCTGTGTCCCTCAGTAACGATTCTGTGTCCCTGAGTAACGATTCTGTGTCCCTGAGTAACGATTCTGTGTCCCTGAGTAACGATTCTGTGTCCCTGAGTAACGATTGTGTGGTCCCCTGAGTAACGATTGTGTGTCCCTGAGTAACGATTGTGTGTCCCTGAGTAACGATTCTGTGTCCTGAGTAACGATTCTGTGGCCCTAAAGTCTCTGTAGCCCTAACTCTGTCCCTAATACACAGAGGTCTGTCTCTCTTGAATGACCGGAGGCTAATGGAGAATTCTAAGATGGCCGCGATTTATAGCTCCACATTTACACAGTGCTGACTGGCTGGCTGCTGATTGGCTAATGCGATCACATGTCATGTGACATGAATGAATGCATTATGGGTCAGCGCGCCTTGTCTGCGCGCCTTCCCAGAGATCCCCGCTCCGTCGCCACACATGTTGCCGCCATTTTTTGGAAAATTCGATTCGTGGCACCGAAGTTTGCTAATTTTCGGATTTTGCGCGCGGCGAATCGAATTTTTCCTAATCTTCGAAACGAATTCCACTTCGTCATGTTCGATTCGCTCATCTCTAATGGTAATGAGTAGAGATGAGCGAATTATTCAAAAAAATTCGATTCGGCTGATTCGCCGAATTTGCGGGAGAAATTCAATTCGATGCGAATTTATTCGCTGCGAATTTAACTTATTAAAAGGGTTTCTAGGCTTCAGAGAGCCTTTTTATTAGTGCAGAACACTGTACCTTTATTTATATGCCCTTGGAGTCTGCTGGGGAAGAGAAATAATACTGTCAGTCAGTATGACATGCAGATGAGTGCCGTCGATCTTAGAATCACCACACACTTCACTCATTTGGGCAGTCACGGGGGAAGAAGAAGAGAGAAGATGATTCATAGTGTATTTACCCTTAAAAAATATATTTATTATATACTCACTCTGTGCAAAACACAAAAACACATCTAAAAATTTGTGCAAAAAATAAATTCAGTATATAAAATCAGCAAAATAAATCAACCAAATAAATTTTGAGATTGAGAGAGACGGATTTCAGCTCATGCTTGAAAATACTGGAATAGGGTAATAGTACCTAGTATCACTACTCACTTTTGGTTGGAGTGATCACGTTTTTTCACGATTTGGGTTTTATAATTTTTTTTTTATTTTATTTGTTGATTTATTTGCTGATTTATATACTGAATTTATTTTTGCACAAAGTTTGATGTGTTTTGTGTTTTGCACAGAGTGGAAGTATTTATAAATATTATTTTTAAGGGTAATACACTAGGAATTTCTTTTTTTCTTTTCTTTTGAGGTTATCATGGAATACTTAGGATCGATTTCTGCTTTATTGGATTGAAAAAAAAAACATTTGGGTTCACTACATATATATTTTTA